TTACACGACTTTGTATATTGTAAAATAAATTACCTGACTATTTATTTTATAAACAATCTACCTGATAATGTATTGTATAAACAATCTACCTGACTAAGTATTATATAAACAATCTACCTGACTATGTCATTTATAAACAAGCTACCTGACTGTGTATATTATAAAATAAATTACCTGACTATGTATTTTATAAACAATCTACCTGATAACGATTTTATAAACAATCTATGTGACTAAGTATGATATAAACATTATACCGGACTATGTATTATGTAAACAATCTATCTGACTAAGTATAATATAAACAATTAACATGACTATATGTTTTATGATAAATCTTTCTGACTTTATGTTTCATAAACAAATTATCTGGTTATAAATGTTATGATCAACCTTACTTGTTATGTATTTCACAAACAAACTACCTAAATGGCAGGAATTGCCAAAGTAACCATCCATGCATCCCTCTTCACATTCTCCATTTTCGTGATGGCATCCCGTCATGTTAAAGCACTGTCCACACATCAACTTACAATCCTGTCCATATGATGAATTCGGACATCCTGTGTCAAATATCAACAGCGTATTTTTCACAATGAAGTAGATCATATGTTATACTTTGCAAAGAGTGTGAAATAAATCAATCATAGGCGTTGGTGATATATAATTATTGAAAATACACAAAAACGCATATTAAATAGTAGATTGGACAATGACAATTGAGAGAGAAAAATTATCAATTATCACTATTGAAGGAGGAAACAATGACGTATTCATAGCAAATAGCATACAAGTATAAAGTTAAACTATGTATTCATCGCAAATGATAAGTTTCTATTTCCCCAAGATAGGGTTATTTCCCGAAGCGAAATAGAGCAACCTTTCTATTTTAGGATTGGGTGTAGTGATAGTGATAGGAGTAGTGTCAATGTGGGGATAGGATTGGGTGTAGTGATAGTGATAGGTGTAGTGTCAATGTGGGGATAGGATTGGGTGAAGTGATAGTGATAGGAGTAGTGTCAATGTGAGGATATGATTGGGTGTAGTGATAGGTGTAGTGTCAATGTGGGGATATGATTGGGTGTAGTGATAGTGATAGGTGTAGTGTCAATGTGGGGATAGGATTGGGTGTAGTGATAGTGATAGGTGTAGTGTCAAAGTGGAGATAGGATTGGGTGTAGTGATAGTGATAGGAGTAGTGTCAATGTTGGGATAGGATTGGATGTAGTGATAGTGATAGGAGTAGTGTCAATGTGGGGATAGGATTGGGTGTAGTGATAGTTATAGGAGTAGTGTCAATGTGAGGATAGGATTGGTTGTAGTGATAGTGATAGGAGTAGTGTCAATGTGAGGATAGGATTGGGCGTAGTGATAGTGTTAGGAGTAGTGTCAATGTGGGGATAGGATTGGGTGTATTGATAGGTGTAGTGTCAATGTGGGGATAGGATTGGGTTTAGTGATAGTGATAGGTGTAGTGTCAATTTGGGGATAGGATTGGTTGTTTACGCGTATTCTGAATGAATCAAATCGCATGTTTTATTTTATTTTTTCAAATTAGATTGAAGGTTTAATCTAAGCACCGGCATGTCCAGAGCTGTACGTTAGGGAAATTCCACTCAAGAGTTTTCTTTTCTAAATTGGTAAAACCCAAGTTGGAGTTTTGCACCATTAGTTTTTTTTTAAATACTGAGAGTGTTTTTCTATCCTACAACCCTTGGCATAAAAAAGTATTTTTCTCCCTTTCAGATCGTCACAATTAGCCCTGAAGGCACATACAGCACCCCAATTTCCGCATCAATGATCGGAATGTTTCCTATTTCGTGACATCAAGACATTTGTTGTCCCATTAAGCATGTCACCCGCCCTGTTCTGTCATTTACGCACAGGAAAGAGAGCATTATCACAGACAAATCTTGCACGAACTTCTGATGGAGATATACTCACGTTCACTACACGTGTCACCCCTCCAGCCTGGCAGACATCCGGATGCAGAGCAGTTTCCTGTCACATGACTACATGCAGCATCCTTACAATGACATTGGTTCGTACAGTTAGCACCAAAATGTCCTGATGTGCATTCTGATTAGATAAATGTCAATGTGTTACATGTGTATCATATTAACAATGTTTCGTCTTAAAACCAATTAGATATTTGCTATCGTAAATAAACAAAACTATATTTCAATAAGAAATGTTTTCTCTTAAGAAAAATATTTCATTACTGTACGAAGGTCTCAATAGTAACTATTTAAGTATATATTAATCAATTGATCGGGAAGTCTCAGTGCAAATGTTTTGGTTATTAGTAAATCTATCACAACAGCCCACACTATTCATACATGAAGTAACTATTAAGTTATATTTGTAAAATTTATCATGACCTACTTAGAGGTCTCAATGTTACTTTTTATTATATTAAAGTTTTGCTTGCGTTGTATATCGATTCTATAGTAATTCTTACTTGCACTGCACGAGTTACCAACGTATCCATCACTACAACCATCTGATGACAAACAGGTTCCATTGAAGCGGCTACATCCGGGGGTCATACAATGACATGTGAGGACACAGTCTTCTCCAAATATGTTTTTGGGGCATTCTGTCGGTAAGCATTTAATAATTATTAATTGTGTACATGCTGTAAACGAAATGACAAATACCGAAAAGATATGAATAAAGATGTATCAAGGACGACATGCAATGTTAATCTGGTGAAGTTCATAACAATACGTAAAAAGTAATTATTTGGTACATCTGTACTTACGTGTTGAACATGACGTTCCCATCCACCCAGATATACATCCAGGTATTGCACATGTCCCATTGGCGTGGTTACAACCGAATGTTTTGCATCTACATTGTGACATGCACTTATTTCCAAAATAAGGAGCAACACATGCTATAGAAAAATAAAAATAAAGTAAGTAGCATTTAAAATTTAATAATTGCGATTTTATTCAGTTGAACTAATGAAATTCAGAACATCAGAATCCAGTATTTACATTGGCTCCGGTCTCATTTAGTTAAAATAAATTCAGAGTTTCAGTTAAATGGACCTTATTTACCTTGGCTACATGAAGAACCATTCCAGCCATCTAAACATCCTGCACTTGTGTTTGTACAAGTTCCATCTGCCTTACCACATCCGGGTACAGCGCAGTGACATCGAGTGTTACAATCCTTACCGAACATTCCCTCGGAACAAGCTATACAGAAAAGTTATTATTAGTTAAGGATACTCATAACTTTCAGATGTCGTTTATATCCACTAGTGATGTATCTTAATTAAATGCAGATCTGGGTCAGTATTCATGAAACAATTTTCATGCTCAAGTATGAATTCTGTGCTCAAGCCAACTGTCTTGTTACTCGCTTAAACTATCATGCAACATTGCCAAGAAGTCAATATAAACATTAAAAATTGTTTTCGGATTTAAGTTTCTATAAAAAAACTTCCATGACAAACCTTGACAAAATGATTTATCAGGGGACAAAAAATTGGGTTTTAACACAGAATTTGAGCTAGAGCGGGAAAACAGTTTCGTGAATAGTCGTTTTTATTAACAAACAAAAATGCGTGTGTAAACTTGTGTGTCTACATTTTGTACAACTTGTAAATAGAAACAAACAGCTATTACTTTGCTCTTTAGGACAATTCATTTACACATGCATGTTGCGTATCAAAAGAAAGCATTTCATTTAAATGTTCCTCCACATGTTATTTCTACAAAAAAACAAGGAAATATTTTAATGAGAAAACGGCAAAGCTCTGGGAACAGCGAAGCATTTGCCCATCTCCTTTATTTTTAGAATATTACATCATAAGCGGGAAGCACTAACAATATGCATTTTCTGCAATCCAAATATTTTGTTTCATGCCTTTTAAAATATAGATTGTCAAAGTATCTACAGCACAGTAATCGAAATCTGCAATCATTTGGGACAATTTGTTCCGCAACGTGTCATGACTAAATAATTAATAATTAAAAAAATACAGTTCCTCTCTTTTAAAAAGCGCCTGTTTTTATTAAACCTATTTAACCTATTTTATGGCAGACTAAACAAAGATGAACTCCCCGCATTTATATTTTTAGCCTATCGTACACCCACATCAAAAAACTTGTCCAGACGCAGCAGTAAGGACATGACGATGGCGCAACATATTCCTCTTGGTTTTCCGATTTATCTTTGTTTCCGATTGAAATATTACCACGCTATACATGTAGTAAGGCAATTGATTAACGAAGTTTCCTGCATGGCAGTATTACATTTATGCTAACAAAACAAACTCAAAGAGTGTTCTCTTATTTAAAACTGAAAAGGTCTAATATTAATATGTTAGTGTCACGCTAGTAAGGGGGTTATTTCATTCAAACGTTTCCGGACGTCTCAGTGGAATACAAAACAAATAGATATTTTAACTGCTATTATTTATTTAAGTTCTAGACTTGTCTCCCCGCCTCTCTGTCGTGGTACGTGTTATACTAGTCTTGTGAAAGCTTTTTTTTTTATTAAATAATGAATATTTTAACAGGACTTTTGTTTAAGCAAATATAAACGTTAGCCATATTGAATTCCTTAACTTACGTATATTACATGACTCCCCCTCCCAGGCGGCAACACACCCGGATACGTTACAATGACCTGTTACCGAGTCACAACCAGGAGTATCACAGTTACACTCGGATGAGCAGTTCTCGCCAAACGTTGTGATCGAACAAACTGAAAGTAATGAAATATATTAATTTCTACTGACTTATGAAAATAAGAATCTTCATTTACCTAGTATGTATGAGTGACTGTAAAATAATTGCCGAGGTGGTTCACCTGAATAATTATACAGTAAAATCCCTTTATAAAAACCACCTGGGGGTCTTAGAGAAGGTGGAGTTAATAGTACGCTGGTCTTTATTGTGAGGTAGACAAGAACCGTAACTCTATGTGACTATTACACCCTACATATCATGTAACATCGTAATTGTAATGCACTCGTACATAATTCAGGAATTCATCGGAATATGGAAACATTTGATATATTACTCTACAGTACTGACCTTGATTTTGTTGTCGGTTTTTAAGCAACAAATAAAACAAATAAAATATACACATATACACATGGTGCAGTTTCAAGTTCACATGGTCTTTAACATGCAGTGCATTCAGGATTTAGATCTATTTTTAATCGATAAATTTCATGAAAGATCAAACATTATGATGAAATTAATTGTAAATGATAATTGTCTTTGAATTGTATTTTCTGTGGGCAAAGGGACAAATAATTTATGATAACGATACCAAAAGCCCTGACTAACCTTGATTACAACTTGTCCCATGGTAACCAGCCTGGCATCCTGGTGTGTTACATTGTCCGGCCACTCCGTTACATCCGGGCGTCTTACAATGACATTCCTCAACACAGTTTTCTCCGAATGTAACTGATGAACAAGCTGAAATGTAGATACTTATAAACATAATGTTGCTGGACTGCTACCATAATTAGAGATATTTATCTAACCGATTAAAATTATATACATACTTTTATTGTAATATGTGTGCCTGTTAATTTTTTCTGAGTGCAGAAACGTTCACATATTGATTGTTCGATCTGTGTCCGGCTTATTATACATGATATGAATTTCTTGTAATATTTCTAAAACATATGAGAATGACGATTAATAACTATGATTTTCTAGTGCATAATAAAACTGTCAGGGTTATTCTGATTGTCCCTAGGAATCAATGAAATTCGATGCTTTAACTTTTTCTTACCATTAACCATCAAGTATGTACTAAACCTAAACTTTATATATATTGAAAATAATTGTCTAAAGGTAGCTTTTGATAACAATCTACAACTGAATTTTGTAGAATTTTTAAAAGTTTGTGTTTCGCTCCCCCACCCAAACCCCTACCTTTTTTCTCTTACAAATCACTCATTCTGTAATTATGACTTATTTGTCTGGTATTATTGTAAAATAATTTCGTAAGATCATGATACATCACAGCCCGCTCTATATTTTATCAACTGAATCAGATATCTTGGTGTCTCCTTATCTTGTTTTCCACTTTTCTACATTGTCCTTCATTTTATGTTTCTAATTATTAAATCGTGGTCAATACCAGCCCGTCCTAAACCATATTGAATTAAAGTCTGTGCTTTCTGGTTTAAACAATGCTTACAAAAACACGTGTCCCTAATGCTACATACCTTGGTCACAAAACCGTGGTCCAGTCCAGCCAGCATTACAGTGTGTTGAATCACAAACTCCGTTGTCAGGGTCACAGCCGTGTTTACAGTTGGTACAATTGTATTGACACTGGTCACCATATTTATGTGTAAAACAACCTGGCAAGGTAATTGTCAAAACTTATTTTATATTATTCACAAACGTTATGTTAAAATATAGGCACAATTGTTTTACAAATTTACTTATACTATATATATATTAATAAAAATATTAGAACTTTGAAATAATAGAAGGCTTATATTCGCGTTGCTTAGTATGCCAACTTAATGAAACTGCAGTTGATAATACAATACAAATATGAACTGCCGCACCATATACTTAACAGAACGCATTCTAAGCATGATGAATTTGAGCCTAGAACGTATATACCTACATTGAATTTATCGGCGGTTTCATATTCTGCATAGAAATCATCTCTGGCATTAAGTAACTCATCAAATTATAAATTACCATACACATCCACCTCACACACGTCCATATGCGCCTGTTTTGGTTGTGTCCTTGTGATGATTATCATGACTCTCTGACCGGTTCTGTTACACGATGTGATGTTTTGAGTTAAGTTCGGGTAGCCGGCGTCCACATCCTCGTAACATTTGATACCAGTCGGTATACCTGTATCGTTTGATATCCACAAGGCAAAGCCATCGGCACGATCTGTCGACGAAAAAGATAAAGTAAAAAATGCGTAGGAACAAAGACGAACAGTCAACTGGAGTAAATTATATACCATTGCAATAACGATAGTACTTTATTTACTATGTACACCGAAATGTAATTGAATGGTTACATTCACAACTGACAAACAGCATCTTTATTAAAATGAGATGCGATCTATATGAATGCTGATTTTGTAGTATTATACTACAGGTGTGGTGTACGATGATTACAGAAGCACAGGAAGGTAATATAAATGCATTTAACTTCAAATATCATGAATGTGTTTGTGGTTAGGCTTTGTATAATGAAAGTCTTGCAAAAAGACATAATTTTCATTATCTACGGAAGATGCTGGAACATCGACTCATATAATGATTCAGTAAGCTAGAAAGGATGATGTCTTTAGTAGCATCGATTGCTGGGAAACTAAAATCGCTTTCTATAATAATAACGCCAGATATCATATTGATATATTATTCAAACTCATCAAAATACTCTTCATAGTATAGATGTATCGTACAAGATCAATTCAATGCTCTAAAATTATTAGCGGTATAAGAACGACTCACCTTGAGCTCTGAATACAATGTCGATTCTCTGTATTCTTGCCTTACTAGGCAGGGTGCCTTGCCACCATGCTGCGCTGTTTATTGCAGTGGCGGCCATACAAGTACCTGTTTCGAAAGGGCCGTAATATCCGTCTGTGGTCTTGGCTACCGGATAGTTGACATTCCAAGGCGTTGCATTAAGTGTCAGGTTTTTCTTCAGGTTGACTAAAAGCACGAAAATGATTTGTTTTATCAATGCCTTATAAGATAAAACATGTACCTGAATGTAATGTATCATTTCACTATATGAATTCATTTTTTACAAAAGCTTAGTAAATGTACATTGCATCTATCAAAATGATGATTCCTGTTATATAAATATATATAATTGTTACATTAAAAATACAAAACCGTTTTCCGTAGTCTGTACGTGCCATTTAGCTCAATAGTGGCATCTAAACCGCTATACAGTAATGAGATATGGGACCTTTTAGATTAATGTACTCTCTCACCATGCATCTCTTTCCAGTAACATGATACCAAGGGGAAAAAATCGTCTTCACGGTGGTTATATTGAAACATAGACATTAGTAAATCATAAAAATGTAATAAAAGTGTATTCAAACTTCGTAACGAGAATACAAATGATTTTCAGGATATTTTAATTTTGTCTTTGCCAAAAGCACAGTCTTTTTTTAACTCATCATGATCTTAGCCAACACGGATGTCCTTATTTCAGGTAAAATATGTTACTTTCGTATACAATCATTAACAGTTATAAAAGGTGTATCACTACAGTCATGTTAAACTTTCCGACTTGATCTGTTTACTTCACACACCTATCGATGTTTCTACAGACACATGTGTTCCCGCTATCAAACCACATTGAATAACTGCTATCTACATCATATTTCAAAAGTAAACCTAAACAAAGTGCCACCTTATTTTAATTGACAAATGGTTGACAATAAACACCATAAAGAAATAAACAACTGTGAACTTACTACTCATTCGAATCCCTGGAACTATACACATCAAAATTACACCCGAACACTATGGACACAGCTCCTGCACACCTGTCTAACGATTATATGTCATTGGTAGTGGTCCGAATGTTAAACCTAACACGTATCCACGTTAGAATGATCATACCAATTAGTCGTACACTAACGCTACAACTATGGTCGTAGACCAGGAAGTAACGTATGTGCGTGATAAGCAACAGGAAGGGTAGTTTATGAGTATTATTTCAGTAGCTAGACATATGCTTAAGTTTTCGTTTGATTTGAATTTTAGCCTCATCGTTGAACATTATCAGAAACAACTAATCTTTTAAAGTAATTTTAGTGTACACAGAGATACCGTCAGTCCCTCTGATACGAATAAAGCTAGTATGTCAGGCACGGTGTTGAGTGCAAAACAAATTAGACATTACCATTCATCAACTAAGGATTTCATATCAGCCGTGCGATTATCAATGTAAAGAGACGAACATTCTGTGACCGTACCAATGATTAAACTCCAGTATTTCAATAGCTATTTTAAGCAGTTTTGATTAGTTCCAGTATTGTGTCAATATGTATAAAATTACGCAGTTAGTTTTTAACAATACCAGAACTCGGTGTCTTCCTCCATTCTTAGCTAAAAGACTATAGATGTTTAGATGTACTTTATCGATTAAGTTGTAATACAATACTGTCAATGTCTCAATAGTTAATCTGCCTTTTACCTTGAATCGACACCATCAACACTTGATATCAATTTCTATATTTAAGATAAACAGGCGTGTAACATAAGGTTACCTAGCTCACACATACAGGTACGGTGTCATGACCGATCTGGTTTTACATTGTCCATTGTGTTTAATAGGTCGCCCGGTTTGGGCAGTCAGGCAAGTATTCGTAATAATAAGCGTTTATCATATGGCAGTCCGGACTGTTTAAACTCCTTTCCGTCATTCGCAAAAGTACCGTTGAAAGACCACCCTATTTCATTAGTAACCATAGACATGTGCCTAGGGTGGGTGAGTGGCGTAATAGAATTTGATTAACAATGGTTGTAAAATAGATAAAGTTTAAAATCTTATGCCGACATTTTATATAGGAAAATATTATCTTATTTTTAAACAGTTTAAGTTAACACCAAATTATTTGAATGTTGAATGTTTCATACAGTAAGAAATGTAGCTGTATATTTTTATCTCACCAAACATTAATTTCTTGAATAATTGAATAATGGCTGACAATAAACGCGATAAATAAGTAAACAACTGTAAACTTACTACTCATTCGAATCCCTGGAAATATACTCAACAAACCTATCCAAAGCAATGTGGACACAGCTTCTACACCCCTGACCATCTTAAGTGATTGAATATTATTCGGTAGTGCTCCGAAAGCATGATATAAAGCATATAGATACGTCAGAACGAACAAATTATTTGGTCGTTCGCTAACAAAACTGCTATAGACGACAACCAGGAAGTAAACTATATGTGTACACGTAAATCCCGTCAGCAATAACGTTAAAAATATAACACACCTTGTTGCATGTGTATTAAACTAGTAAGTTAGGCACAGTGTGGAGTACAAAACAAAACTAGACGTTTTCATTGCATTACCTTACCCATGATTAAACTCCAGTATTTTAATAGCTAGTGTAAGGCAGTTATAAATAGTACTAGAAGTGTGCCATGAGTGTATGACGTCATTACGCACTTAGTTTGTAACAATTCCAGAATTCGGTGCTGTATCCTTAATCCTTAGCAAATAGACTACAGACGTGTTAATATACTATACCGATTAAGTTGTAATACAATACTGTCAATGTCTCTATACTTTATCTGACTTATATCTTGAATCGACACCATCAACATTTTATATCAATTTCAAAATTTAAGATAAACAGGCGTGTAACATGAGGTTACCTAGCTCACACATACAGGTACGTACGCACTCATGACTGATCAGGTCTACATTGTCCATTGTAATTTATAGGTCGCCCGGTATGGGCAGTCAGGCAAGTATTCGTAATAATAAACGATTATTATATGGCAGTCAGGACCATTTAAACTCCTTCCCACATTCGCACAATTACCCTTGAAAGACCATCCAATTTCGTTAGCAACCGTATACATGTGCGAGTGGCGCAGTATAATTTGTTTCACACTTTTTGTAAAATAGATAACGTTTTAAGTCTTATGTCGACATTATATATAGGAACATGTTATCTTAACTTAAAACAGTCTAAGTTAACATCAAATTTCCAAATTATTTGAAGTGAGAAATAGGCATTTTATCCCCTCAAAAATAGTTGAATATTTCATGCAGCGGGAAATGTCAGTGTATAGGTTTATCTCATCAAGCATTTACAAACGGTAGTATATTTTTACTTTAATACAAAATCATGTGGTATGTACATTCACTTAGGTCTTTACACGATGTGGTCTCTATATGTACTGCTGTCCAATGTATGCGTTTTGATGTTAAATAAACACATTGTGATGTCAACTGTACATGTTATAATGTCTACTGTCGTCAAAAGTAATGATATCTACTGTACATGTTCGGATATCTACTATACACGTTCTGATGTTTACTGTCCAAATTATCATGTCTACTGTTTACGTTCTGGTGTCTATTGTACATGTTCTTATCGATACTGTACACGTTCTAATATCTACTATACACGTTCTGGTGTCTACTTTTTTACATGTTCTGATGTCTAATGTACATGTTTTGATTGCGTCTGTACATGTTTTGACGTCTACTGTACAGTTCTGGTGTCTACTGTACACGTTCTAGTGTCTACTGTACACATTCTGTTATCTACTGTACACATTCTGTTATCTACTGTACACATTCTGATATCTAGTAAACACGTTCTAGTGT